GTACAGATACTGCAAAATAAAATTCCAGGACTTGCACTACTTTTTTGGTTTTCAAGGACTAAAATCAGATCTCACTTATCAATCAATATGGTTATTATCTTTCAAATTCTAATAAATAAACTAATAAAACAAAATGGTACAAATAAAGTGCAATACATGCAACGAATACAATGACTGTGGCAACTTTAACATTTGAAAGGATACTATGGCAAAGTTATTGCTTTCCTTATTTAAACTGATTTTTTTCATGAATATATGATTGACCTGAAGAATGAAAGCTATATCATACACTTGGAAAATTATGAGCTTTATCACGCTCATAGACACTAGGGGTGTGACAATACACTTAGCTCACAAGGTGAGACAAAATGCATATACTTGGTTCACTGGAACGAGACAATGTTTTAATACTTTAAGAAATTTTCAAATGACAAAATATGTCTTTTAATCACAAAAAGTAAAACAATGCAGTTGTATTTTGAAATGTTTTAACTAATCTAGAGCTTAACTAATGATTAGTTTGCTAATCAAGTAATCTACTGATTATTATGACGAGTAATGCCGAGTTCACACTGCACGATTTTCAAACTCGTCGGCCGTTGTTTTCACACTGACTATCTGGAGTAGCATTCAGTTGCTGCTGTGTTCACACTGCACGATGGATCGGCGACAGAGGGTTTCGCATTGCATGACTTCACAATAGGAAGAATCGCCGACAGCTCTGTCAACCCCCCCAATTACTACTCAAAACTAGCCTGAAAATACTCCAATTGCTTTCGAGGGGGTCCCCCAGCAAAAAGGGTTTTCATTTTTTTGGCGGGGTTCTCCTGGTACAATTCACATTCCAGGGCCTAAATATCACGTTATTGGGGTCGCTTCAATCTGCTGACATAAAAAACAACCGTCGGCAATCGCGGATTTGGCAACACTGGTCCGCAAACTACGTTTCATATAACTCCTCCCCGAACTTCCAGCTGCCCTGTATCTTGGTCTCTCATTGGCTGTAGGTCATTGCCGATGTTTTTTTCAGTCAGAACTCATTTCACACAATGCGATTGTGAATCGCCGACAGCTCCAGATATTTTGCATGCCAAATATTTCACGGGGTGTCGGCAACCTGTCGGCGATTCCCTCAGATCGCGTCTTTGATAATTCACACTGCGTGATTGTCACTCTCGTGAACGATCACCAATTTGCCTCCGATTTCGGGCATCTGTCGCGATTTAGCAAAACCTGTCGGCGAGTAAAAAATCGGGCTTGGTCCGCAAACTACGTTTCATATAACTCCTCCCCGAACTTCCAGCTGCCCTGTATCTTGGTCTCTCATTGGCTGTAGGTCATTGCCGATGTTTTTTTCAGTCAGAACTCATTTCACACAATGCGATTGTGAATCGCCGACAGCTCCAGATATTTTGCATGCCAAATATTTCACGGGGCGTCGGCGATTCCCTCAGATCGCGTCTTTGATAATTCACACTGCGTGATTGTCACTCGCGTGAACGATCACCAATTTGCCTCCGATTTCGGGCATCTTTCAGCGATTTAGCAAAACCTGTCGGCGAGTAAAAAATCGGGCTAAAATTGTGCAGTGTGAACTCGGCATAAGCTGATGCTTTTTAGTAATACAAATAGAACTAAGTAAAAAAACAGGCTTTAATATGATTATATTTATATATAAAGTAACGATGAGGCAATAATAATTGGCCTCAAATAAGTTATCAAAACCACGTGCATGGTTTTATTGAAGAACATTGTTGAATACATAATTATTATTATTAAATTACATATTAATATGCCTATATTATAACAAATACCTGCAGAGGGCGCCAACGGCCTGGTGATGTTTCATGTATTTCAAGGACGTTTAAATCCATTTAATTTTAATATTTGGCCACATGCAAAGTCAGAATCTTTTATTTTGAAATCGCGATATACAATAAATTGCATATTTAGAAATATGTTGATGTATTCTCCTGTGTTTGGCATAGGTTTAAATGATTTACATTACAAATGAAGTGAATTTTCCCAGATGAACGTTATATTACTCCAGTCTTAAGTATCCTTCAGAAATTATTTTGATAGAATACACCTTTTAAAAAGCCAGACAAAAATGGTGACTTCCTCACATTTGATTTATTTTTTATTTATTCAAGCATTAAATTCAGTAAATTTAAAACAACTAGTAGCCTGTGACAAAAAAATTAACATATAATCCATAATCCCAACAGTCTTAAAATAATGACTGATCCTGCAAACTTTAAATACAAGCTCAAAACACACTTCAGCTGTAGTTTAGGTCATTGTAAGAGGATGTAACAATATAGAATTTAAGTTAAATATTTTATCTGGTCAGTACCGGACATGTATTACTGCATTATCAGGGTTTCAAAAATCAGCCTTTGTTCCAGCTCTTCAGAATGGCCTCTGCTGCATCCAAGGTGCTTTCTTGCTGTAGTAAAAAAACATTAAACACCATCAGCACTAGTAAGGCATTTGATGTCAGTTGTTATTTTAAAATCATCTCTGCAACATTCAGACCGTTTCAGAAAGGAAATACAGCTAAATATTTTAGCTATTCTGTCTTTAGATAGCTGAATGATCTTTTGCATTTCCTGTAAAAACCTAAAGTTAACCCACTCCTTACCTTGATAAAGCACAAACGAATGTATTTCTCAAACTGCTTTACTGAATCTTCCCCCACAAAAGCGGTTACAGGAATCGAAGCCAGTTTCTTAAAAAAAAAATATATATATATATATATTATATATACAGTATATATATATAATTTTGAAGACAATTCTGTGGATTTTACTGTGCTTTGGTCTTGTTATTTATTCCTAAAATCACAAAACAGAATACCTTCTCTTTTATCATCCATTTTACAAACTTGTAGTCATATGGTTCATCATCCCCCATATGTGACAAGTCCTGATCTATATTCAACAGACAAGACAGAACAACACTAATCAGATTTAACTTCCCACAAACAATGTCACCTTTGCCTTTGGAAGTATTTTTTTATTTAACAAACGTCACTTCGAGCCACTTACTGAGTGCTGTGACATCCACTATCATGAAGTATCCTCCCTCCGGGACCACTGGAGTCATGCCAGTCTGTCTCAACATGGCTGCCATGCGGTCTCTTTTCCCTTCCAGCTCTAGTGCTAGAGAGGTAAAGTAGCAGTCGGGTTTACCCATCAGCTCAAAGTCCCGAAGAAGACCCTGGCCAACAGCCTCCTACCGAGCAGTACAACCATGTCACAAAAACGTCGCCTAGAACAGTGCATTGTGTACAACTCTATAATAACAGACAAAACTCGCCTGTAATGGAGTCGGACATGTATAGAGACTGCTCTGCATAACAGTCTGGAGGTGTTTGATCAAGTGATCAGGCCCGATTGACCAGCCCAGCTGCAAAAAAATAAATAAATGAAAGAAATAACATTTTATCATTTTATTTTGTTTTGAAAATGTTGGAATTATTAGTTTATCACCATTTAATTCCAAGCCTGTTTGCTACTTTTTTTCTTTCTTTCATGAAATACAAAAGGAGAATGTTTTAAGAATCCTAAAGCATCTGTCTACCATACAATGATGTGTCAAGATAAACCTAAAAAATGCAATGGTTTACAATGTCAAGCTTCAAAAGAACCGAAAAAAACCATAAAAGTGGTTCATATCATTTGTGCAATATATTATATATATATAGTGGCTTACGAAGAGGCTCAAACAGAGAAATATTTAGGCTGTTAATTACAGTAAACCTTCGCCATTACTGCTCTGCATAACAGTCTGGAGGTGTTTGATCAAGTGATCAGGCCCGATTGACCAGCCCAGCTGCAAAAAAATAAATAAATGAAAGAAATAACATTTTATCATTTTATTTTGTTTTGAAAATGTTGGAATTATTAGTTTATCACCATTTAATTCCAAGCCTGTTTGCTACTTTTTTTCTTTCTTTCATGAAATACAAAAGGAGAATGTTTTAAGAATCCTAAAGCATCTGTCTACCATACAATGATGTGTCAAGATAAACCTAAAAAATGCAATGGTTTACAATGTCAAGCTTCAAAAGAACCGAAAAAAAACCATAAAAGTGGTTCATATCATTTGTGCAATATATTATATATATATAGTGGCTTACGAAGAGGCTCAAACAGAGAAATATTTAGGCTGTTAATTACAGTAAACCTTCGCCATCGCTTGCCCAGAAACCAATATAGTGTAAAAGTGCCCACTTTTTCAGCAGCCTTGGTTCCTGAATTATTTGTCCAATTAATTTTCCCATAAGGATTTTTAAAATGTCTTCAATAAAGAGTTGCAATACAATATTGCAATCATTGATTTCAATGGCTCAAATTAATTACTTAATCACTTAATGGATTTAATTAGTGCCCTGTCCAAATACCCACACTTTTGGTCTTTGCACTTGACCACTTGGCTACTTACAGTAGTCTATAGTTGACTACTTCAAGTGAGCATGACGAACTTTTCATTACCTGATGGGACACACTTTATTTAGGCTGTTAATTACAGTAAACCTTCGCCATTGCTTGCCCAGAAACCAATATAGTGTAAAAGTGCCCACTTTTTCAGCAGCCTTGGTTCCTGAATTATTTGTCCAATTAATTTTCCCATAAGGATTTTTAAAATGTCTTCAATAAAGAGTTGCAATACAATATTGCAATCATTGATTTCAATGGCTCAAATTAATTACTTAATCACTTAATGGATTTAATTAGTGCCCTGTCCAAATACCCACACTTTTGGTCTTTGCACTTGACCACTTGGCTACTTACAGTAGTCTATAGTTGACTACTTCAAGTGAGCATGACAAACTTTTCATTACCTGATGGGACACACTTTTACCCCCGGTTTCACAGATGAGGCTTAAGCTAGTCCCAGACTAAAATGCACGTTTGAGTTGTCTCAACTGAAAATATCTTGCTCTGACATATCTTAAAATATGTCAGTGTCATTGTTCTGTGTCAAGATGCACACCTATAATGTTTTCTTCTAAGGCATTTTTGTAAAAGTTGCTTAAATATCTTAATTTAACTAAGGTCTAGTCCTGGCTTAAGCTAAGCCCCGTTTGTGAAACCGGGCCATAGTTTTGTAAAAATGCCAGTGTTTAAAGAGATTTCTTTTTAGTTTCAATACTTCACATTTTAAAATAAATTTACATTTAAATTGTGGTGCTTCTAATTAAGTGATAAAAAGCATTTTTAAATGTTGTACAAAATAAATATACTTCTCTTTGCACCAATAAAACGTGCAACACTTTGTTTTACAACCAAATTATTTGTAATATCTAATAATTATTCAATTAAATTGGAAAGGTTTCCGTGACCTTTCGTGAGATCTTGGCAAAAAGTTTTACGATTTATTCCAAAACATGATGCATGATGGGATACACTAAACCTTGAATACCACTCCGGAGCGGTATTGAAGATAGTGTGAATTTAGTGTGCATTAAGGGCACTGCGCTTTGGCATTTTTTAAAACCTGGGACAGTCTCGCGCACTTACTTCCTGACGCATGCACACGCTCTCAAGTGGCCAAGACCACAAGTGTGAGTATTTAGACAGAGTAAAAACTCTAATTGCAGGAAGCATTATGAAATAAAAACAATGGATGAATACAAATATTTAAGTAGTTTAAGAATGTAGGGAGATTGGCTCTATTACGTGTTTTAACAGTGCTTCATGGGAGTGGGTAGGCAAGTGGACACTAGGAATTATTTTGATGCAATTTGTTCATTTTGATTCCCCGATTGATCAAAAGCAAACTCTGCATTTAAACAACAAAATAAAATGAAATGATGTGCTTAAAAGACAGTAGGTCTGTTTTAAAGGTTTATGAGTTATCCTTAAAATTCAATTCCTCTATGGAGAAAATCTATGGAAATTTTTCCTTCTGGAATTTGACTGTTGCACTTGATGGTGATCTGGCACCAAACTTGCCATGATGCATAATTTCTTAATCTGAAGTTTAGATAAGATTTCATAGCTCTTATCGACATTAGGTTGCTTTTATGGATTTTTGTTCCTTGTTGGAGACTGGAGTCTTTAAAATCTTAAAAATCATTATTCGGCAGAGAAAAATAACAGCAGGAGGGTTTGAATTGACAGGACGGTGAGTAAATAACATAACTTTAATTTATGGATGAATTACTATTATAAATATAAACAATGAAGACAATAACAGTCAAATACCTTCCATCCAGTGACGCTGAATGTTTTCCCTGCACTGCCGATAGTGATGGTTCTGTCCCACATTCCAGGGAGGGTTGCTGTTAAGAAAGAATACAGCAGAATCAGCACATCTTTATACAATTTGTAATCCACTGACATGAAAAGATAAGATGCACCACTGGAGAATTATCACATACCTATCTTTACATGCTCATGGCCTTTATATGCGAGCCATTCATATACCTCATCACTGAAGCACAGGGTGTCATGTTTGATGCAGAGATCGGCAATAGCTTGCAACTCACTCCTACTGAATATCTGGAAGTGGAAGAAAGCTTTAGGATATTAAAATGCATTTTGGATCTAAATACAATATATGTGACCTTACTTTTCCAATAGGGTTATTAGGAGTGTTGATTATGATAGCCTTGGTCTTGGAGTTGAATTTACTAGCAAGTTCTTCCTGGTCCAGAACCCAGTCAGCACTGCTTACACTGGTTGCTGCTGGTGACGACTTCTGCAGTACAGGTCAAACAAGTGTTATGTTTCATGAAAAAATACAGCAAACACTACAGCAAGCAATATTCATCCTGCTAACCTACCAATCGCAAAGGTATTAAAACAGGTCTCCCCCCTGCCATTTTCACCATAGGAACATAGCAGTCAAAAAAGGGTTCTATAATAATAACCTGAATTGAAAAAGGGAGAAAAAAAAGAATGCATAAGTCATAATCTAGTGCAATTATATATTGAAGGTGCTAAATATACTTTACCTCGTCTCCCTCCTCAACCAGAGCCTGCATAGTGCTGAACAAAGATCCATATCCACCTACTGTAACCAGGATCTCTTTAAACGGGTCGAGCTGACGGTCATAGACTTTTCCATATACTTTTGACAGGGCTTTAACCAGTGTTGGGTGGCCCTGAAAACAGAAATGTAGCTATTTGAGTGGTTTTTCAACATAATACATGATAATCATAAAGTGTGGACAGAACATACAAAGCCACGTGTGTACTGGTTCAGCCTGTCAACCATTGCAGCCTGAGCGAGACCCTCTTTCACATAAGACGGAGGAGGGATATCTGGGTAACCCTGTCCAAGATTGACAATGGAAGGGTCTGCTGCCACTGATGTGAAGGCCACCCTAAAACACAACAGACACTGTTAGGAATATTTAACACATGTCTGTGAGAAAAGTGTTAGCAAATAATCTCTATTCTTACCATACATTCTTTTATAATGCTTTATTGTCAACAAGTAGCATGTACAGTGCCATATCTCACTATATAACAAAAACATTTCACATAACTCAACAAGAAGGAAAAAGGAAAAGAAAAGGAAAAAGGGAAAAAAAGAGCAGAAATGTAGCTATTTGAGTGGTTTTTCAACATAATACATGATAATCATAAAGTGTGGACAGAACATACAAAGCCACGTGTGTACTGGTTCAGCCTGTCAACCATTGCAGCCTGAGCGAGACCCTCTTTCACATAAGACGGAGGAGGGATATCTGGGTAACCCTGTCCAAGATTGACAATGGAAGGGTCTGCTGCCACTGATGTGAAGGCCACCCTAAAACACAACAGACACTGTTAGGAATATTTAACACATGTCTGTGAGAAAAGTGTTAGCAAATAATCTCTATTCTTACCATACATTCTTTTATAATGCTTTATTGTCAACAAGTAGCATGTACAGTGCCATATCTCACTATATAACAAAAACATTTCACATGCCTCAACAAGAAGGAAAAAGGAAAAGAAAAGGAAAAAGGGAAAAAAAGAAGGTACATAAGCATCAGCTTACAGACAAATACATATGATACATATACATTTCCATAGGATGTTACAATGCAAATTTTAACTTACCATACATTCTTGTCCAGACCTTCTATCCTTTTCGCGTTCTTATGTTTTATGGATGCCATCTTGTCCTAAAAAAGGGAAAGAACAAAATAAAGGAATGTCAAAGAGAAATGAATAGCTCGGCAAAACTTGCACTCACTTGGCAGGATGTGAAATTTCTAAATCTATTGGTTTGTAATATGCGTGGAGCACATCTGAAAACACGAAGTAGATGAATAGGATTCATATCTGTCCAAAAAAAAGAAGTCAAGATCGTATCAAATATTCATTGCTCACTTCAAAACATTGCGGTCACAGACATAAAACTCCTTTCAGTTCATTGGTCGCAGTCCAGTATACGTATTTTGTGTTTGAAAGAAGCAGATTCGGCCTGACGCAAACGTCCTACGCCTCTAAAACGGACCAATCAGTTGGCGCTTTTTATAAAGAGTCGATAAAAGGCTCTGCTGAACAATTCTGTGTTCTGGAAGTGACTGGTCCTACTGTGGTGAGGTTCGTCGATATTAATTAGTTACATGATGACCTTGCTCTTCCGGAACTTTGGAAGATACCGAAGTCCGCATAAGCTGTTTAAATATTTATGAACTAACGTTATCTATCTTCTTAGCAGTGATGAGAATTCCGGCTCGTTTCCACGGATCAGGTCTTCTTCATTTCAAACACCTTCAAAAACGATTATAAGATTTCTTTTACAGTATGTTTAATTTATGATATAAAATAAACATACTGTAATAAAACTTATTGGTAAGAAGCCTGATAGTGAACGAATCGTTTTTTTTATTTTATTAGAACAGGAACATAAACACATGGGGGATAGAAAAACAATTAAAAGGTAAACAAATATACAATTATTTTACAATCATAAAAGTTAAAACTTATTTATGAATTTGTTTATAAGATTGGATGTTTTTAAGGCTTTTTTTATTAGAGGAGTTTTTTTGAAGTGATGAGCAAAACAAAAGTAAATCAGAAGTGAATATTTTACAATTAGGTTTAAAATTAAGGCATCTTGCTCTGTGAATGTGGAATTTTCCCATCATACAAATAAAGTCCAGGGCATCGATCCTCTAGCTCCCTATTGTCAGAAACCACAGAATGAAGGAGAAACTTAACTGCTGAAATGTTACATAGCTGAAAGAATACAAGAAGTAAAGATGCTGAAATTTGAAGCCAGAATTGTTTAGTATAAGGACAGAAATAGAATAAATGTGAAAGAGATTCTTCCTCTTCTTGGCAAAAAGAACAGAGTGGAGAAAGATTTGGTATAAATGTACTTAAATATTTGTTGCAGGGGTAATAATGATGAATCATTTTAAAATGAACTTCTTTTATTTTATTATTAAATAAAAATTAGTTTGGGACTGTCCACGCTTTCTGAAAATTAACATTTGGATAAAGTGCCAACCACTTTCCATAAGCTTTAAAAGATGAAGCAATATTAGTAGTAACAAAGATTCTCAAAAATTTGTTTGTACACCATAATATTAACCCCTTGAATAAATAATCGAGGGATAATCAATTTAAAATTACAATATATTTTAAAAGACTTCATTAAAAATAACAACTTAGGAGAAATGGAATTTGTAATAGTAGTATAGCCCCGTTTTGAAGCATTTTTTCCCATATTTATTAATAAAATCAACATAAGCATAAAAATCTCCACTGTTGCTTATTAAATCTGAGATAAACACAATGCCCTTGGAGAACCAATCAGGGAAGAAAACAGATTTACGAGCTGATAAAACATACTGATTATTCCAAATAATATGAGGGGGAAAATTGTGTTTAAAGATTAGCTTCCATGAGTCTAAAGCTTGCTTATGGAAGTTTGAAAGCATCATAGGGAGCCTTGTGGACTTAAAGGTTTTCGGACCTACTTGAAAGATCTAACTCAAAAATGATTCATTCGTGAATTTGACATTGGCAGGGCTGTACGTTCACTTTTTTTTTCACATAGCACTGGTGCTACAGAGGTTGAAAGTTTTGTAGCACAGGCCAAAAAGTTGTAGCACGAGTATAAAATGTCTGTTATCATGTCTGAAACAAACACAAGTAATGGAGTTCATCACTTAAACAGGCAGATGTTCCATACAGAGCACAAAAAATACAAACCATCACAAAAATTGTTTTTAGACTAAAGTTTTCTTAATTTGCTAAAAATGGAAGAGTGCAGAAACATAACACCTCTTACACATTTACAAAATAAAAAATAATGGCAGACATTTAGGCCAAAGTAAGCAAAGATAAAAATATTTGTCATTATTGTATCTTTGTTATTAGAAAATAAGAACAAAGATATACATTACAAATACACATACTATACAAATAAAACAAACAGTGCTTTATTTTTCAGGTACAGTATTTAGCAGTAACATTCAAGAAATTGAATGAACAAATATTAAAATAAAACACTGTATACACTATATACATCAATTATACTTTTTTTTAAAGCACCTGACTGTTAATAAGTTCATCAGTCAATAGCAGTGAGTGATTTTTCTTTGTGTTTTGTTGTTTTATCAACATTAAAAGAATAGTTCACCAAAAATGAAAATTCTGTCATAGTGTTTCATTTTTAATACCATCATTTACTCAAGTTGTTTTAAACCTGTATTAGTTTATTTCGTCTGTTGAATATACAAGTTATTTTGAAGAATGTGGGTAACCAAGCAGTTGCTGGTCCCCAGTGACTTCCATGTTATTTTTTTCCTACTGTCAAAGTCAATGTGGACCAGCTACTGTTTGGTTACCCACATTCTTCAAATTAACTTATGTTGTGTTCCGCACAAGAAAGAAATGAATACAGGTTTACATATACATATATGTCGCACTGTACAGCCCTGATTGGTATTAGGTTAGTGGCAGTCGAATTTGTCATTTCTGGTCTTCGCGACAAACAGGTCAGGAAAAAAATTTAAACCTGCAAAAAGATGATCAGTACCTGTCTAACTGAAGATGTAAGTATAAAGAAAGAAGCGTTTACCTTTAATCATCGAAACAATGAACCATATTGAACGACACAACAAAGGGTTCAGCAGAGGCGTAAAACAGATGGCTTTATTTACATTTCTTAATCCTTTAATTATTTACAATACCCTTTCAGTTTTCAGACAGTAGCAATTTTACTCACGTTTGTAATGGTCTCGCTTAATTTGATTGCACCTCTATTGAAAGAAAAAAGGTCCTGCAGGCAAAATGTGCCTCGGGGCAGAGGTTTTATGTTTGAAGTCTGAGTTAAATTAATCATTCATCTATTACTTCTTGCATATGTCACCAATTGTCTACTGTCAACATAAAGTTAATATGAACGGCCAAAAATTATTTTTATATATATTTTTTATTATCATTTATTAAGTTTTTTTTTTTCAAAATTCAATGCAAAAAGTTAAAAAAAAAAAATGGAAAAAAGAAACAAAAATACTAATAAGATATGAAGATATGCTTCAATGGCTTTTTCCCCACCCACTTGTGAAGTTGCAGTGTGGAGCCAAATCAAAGGTCCTGGTTTGGGCGTCTCTGATCAGCTTTCTAAGTTTTTACATTTGTCGACATGAATTATAACACTGCAGATGGCGCTGTAATCTCATATACGTGATGAATATTAGCTTAACACTTTTAATGTAGCCTAATTCAGTAAATACATAATTAACATCTCAAGATTTAAGATCCCACGATTCTTGGAACAAAAGTTTCATTTTGATCATCTCAAGACAGTGAATATTTTGCTTGGAATAGGCTATAGTTTCATGTCATATAACTATTATTTACAGGTTCACTGAACTAGAGACTATTCCTGCTAACCAAGTAAAAGAAGAATTGAAAAGTGTAGCCTATCTCTTCACGGAGTTTAAATAAAACTTCCCAGCAACTGCTAGGGATACCATGTGCTGGAGATTCTATTCATAAACTGTCTATGAATAGAATCTCAAAAGCTTGCTATTTTAGTCTAGCTCATCTGAAGTCTGGATGTCTAATTTGTCTGCTAATCTTTCAACCATAATTTTAAACAATTTTGTTCTTATTTGAATCTATACATTTGTATTTGACTCAAATTATTTTCCAGTTAAATCACCAAATCTAGCTTAGATAATTGTTCATATTCTTTCATTTATGGCTTCACAATACAATGAAGTCTATACAAAATCAGGGTTTTTCAGATTTTATAGACTCAGTGATCCCCACTTAGAAATAAACAAATAAACTAAAATAAAAAAAAACTAACATTATTACATAATTCTTATCAATCCATTAGTCATTCAAATAGAGAAAAATATCATAGACATTTAAAAATACAATTCTATACAAATTGCATATCTTCTCCCTTTGCAATACCTTCACAGTCCCCCAGGGGTCCATACAACTCTGACATTAAATAATAGATGATCTCAGTATGTGTGCCTTTTGGGGCAAATTATTCTAAATGAAAGGGAATTCATATTGCCTGTATTTCAGTTTTCTCTTAGGCATTTAATATTTAATTGGCCTCCAGTCAGCACTGGATAGTTTCAGAAAAAAACTGAATAGAGATCACTTACAGCACACACTATTTTTTGTTTCCTGTGGTATAGTTCTTTTAAATAAACCCATGATAAATAAAATAATAGAATAAATAACACAAGCGATGCTATTACACATTGTCATGTAATAATTTTATTTTGTTAATGTTCTTTCATAGGATGTTGTAAACACAATTGTAAAACGATCAACATAAACCAGTAAATTTGACCTTCAAAAAGGCTTGTCCCTGAAACACTGTTAATATTGTGGCAATATTTTTTTCCTCCATATGTCTTCAAGTAGTTAGGAACTTTAATTCTTTCTCTCTCTCTCTCTCTCTCTTCAATATGTGCAATAATAGTCGGGTAAAGTATAAAAAAGTATACATTTATGTAATGTATACATTAAAAATATGCCCTATCTGTTTATTTAACACATTTGAACATTTTGACCTTTGAGGTAAATGGGTAAACCCTATCTACCTATTAGTACAAAAATGTTTAAAAATGCTTTATATTATAAAATCTGAAATCATTATGAAACACTTCAACCATTTGCAATTTGTTGATTGAAATGAAAACTGATAAATACTGTAAATAGTGCAGCACAATGCTGTTTATTTGAAATGCTTAGCATGCTGCTAAAACAGGGGAGCTGAAGACCTTTGTCAGTCTGTTTAGCATGTTCTTTAGCCCTGGTAAGATGTCTTCTTTTCATTACATCTAAGTTCATGCATTTGCGATATGTTTGAGGAACACTTTATATAACAATCTACAAGATGCCTGACCTTAAACAACATATTTACTTTACAAGTATTGACCGACCATCTACCTATGAATACATCTTCCCGATGTTGCTGCCATAGGCATTGTAAAGGTGGGCAATTTTTTGGCTTAGTTACCCAAGCTCTAATACACCTCTGGACAATTTTTTTTCCATTTTACACAAGTGCTTTGGCTCACCATGGACTACAAGAGCATTGTCAGGGCTAAACCCAGTTGTTCAAAGTGAGGACACAAAAGAAATTCAGTCCAGCTGCAGGGTGTTCTGGACAGGAGATATTATACAGCATTTATAGTTTATTGTGGATGATTAGAAACTCATAGGCAGGATCCTTTGACCTAATGTGGGATGGG